CCGTTCGAGTAACCAACCATGAACTTGCTTTCAGCGTTCCAGCCATCAAAAATACAAAGCAATGGAGAAGAAACGAAGTGAATGGAAGTCAAAAAAGATTGATCTCGGTATGATATGAGCATAAGAAGAGCTCGAATAGAAGGTGTATGCAACCGCGCCACCAACTGAGTGGATGAACCACGCTGGATAAAACCTCAAGCTGAGGTGGTCCACTTCTAGCGCTGACTGGGGGTTGATAAGAAAGAATAATTTCAACCCAGTTTAACTACCCGCTTATATCGATGTTTCTGTAAGGATTACGGTTGATGCGGCTCTATCTGCACCAGTAGCATGGAGATCCGTCGCAAGGAGAATAGACTATAACGTGGTGCGACGGTTTGCGTACCTCTTTAACCCCTTGAGCTATACTGGATAGTGCCCAGGGAACTTGGAGGGCTACTCTTTCCAGGTTTGTCAGTGGTCAGACAAACAGTCGCCTGGTCCTCCAGGTGTGGGTTTTGAATGGGATGACTTCCATTTGTAAAACTGAATCATTACCAACTCCCCGCTGCATTGCGGACAGGCTTTTGAGCCAAAGACTTTGGTTGATGCCCCTAATCGTCCTCTTGTCTAGGTCTGGGCGCCTTGGCATTATCTCAGTCCACATACAACAATGACTGTTTCTTCAAACATAAACTTCATCCTACATCGGCCGCCGTGCAGATTATCAAGGGTCGGATTATCTGCTGCATACAGTAGGGCGGATAAGCAAAAACATGCTACTGTTGGCGCCCCCCACTTTCATTTTCATTTGTTTCTCTTACTTCCCTCCGAATGAATCCTCATTACTAGCCTTCTTTCTATAATTCCCAGCATTACTGACAGCACCTGGAATACCACTATCTGCAGTTACCTTCCACACCACTCACTGACCGCCTATATGCAAATATCCATTACAAGCCCACGCTGTCCCGTTTCTATGGCGGGGGACAATGCTCCCACTCCAAGACAATGAGGTCAACAGCCTGTACTCACACGCAGGTTGGACATACTGGGTATAAATGTGTGTTGGGTGCCCGAAACTAGGATCAATGACCCTCAATTGGTTGTCGAACTAACTGCGCCCGGTTTGTCCTCCTGTTACTGGTCGCATGCATCCGAAGTTGCTGATGCTGCGGCCTCTGGCCAAGCTGGAGAAAATATCGTACTCAGCGCCAAGGCAGTAATCGTTGGTAATCGTTAGATTCCCATAAACAGCCATTTGTGTGCAACCCGTTTGGATACATGAACTAAGGTTGATTCACGAAGTAGTACAAGACGCTGCTTTTTGTGGTTACCGCTTATGCTCCCACCGACTGCAGTTCTGACGCCGCCAAGGACACATTCTACCATGAACTAAACACACGACTAGGCAGTGCTACCAGTTCAGATATCGTTGTTGTTGTAGGGGAATATGAATGCGCAAGTAGGTCGCCTAGCCTCTTCACAAGCTCAGCTATGTGGTAAGTACGGACTTAACTCCAACCGTACAGACAACGGCGAGCGTCTTTTGCAACTGTGTGCGAAGCACGAGCTGTATCTTAGTAGCACTGCTTTTAGACAGTGGGCGCCGAAGTGCCACTTGGAGTCCTCCTGTAGCTGGCAGGCGATGATCCCAAATAGATTACGACGCAATAATTTATAGGAGGCGCAGTTTCATGCTGGACTGTCGCTCATTCTGAAATACTTGCGTCGACTCTGATCATGCCACGGCACGCAGTCGCTTTTACTTGAAGTTTACCGTGAGGCGTACTAAGCGCCTCCCCCGATTAGCAACTGGAAAATTATCTCAGCCCTCGATCATGCAAACCTACCAAAATGCACTGCGTACCGAATTTTGCTCTCCTGTCCTAATGGCACTGAGCTTCAGTGGAACAGTACTTCGGCAGCCATACATGTCGCCGGATCGTCTGTCTGCAGTACTATCAATCATCACGGCAGCAGGCACTGGATATCCGAGAGGTTAGTGAACCTGCTGGAATCCAAAAGATAAACTCCCGTCTGGCTCTCAGCACAATGTGATCAGACGTACTATTAGACAAGAAGTAAAGCGGAGTGTGTGCCAACAAGCAAACCTGGTGGACTAGTAGAACATAGGAAATGGAGGAAGCGATAGTATTAGGCGATTAACGCAAGCACAACCAGCTGATCCGCAACACTAGTCCAAGTAAACCAGGTGTAAGTGAGACAAGCAGAGACAGTGCGGCTGCTTTGATTCACAATAAGGGGCACCCAATGGCTCGTTGGGCGGAGCACTTTCGTGAACAGTTCAGCTGGTTCCCAGTTTCGGACCCGTTCCCAGTTAGGCGGTACAGGCTGAGCCAATGCCGGTTAGTTTAGAGGCAAAAGTTGGAAACGCAACCACGGTCCTTAATCGCTTTTGAACTTCTGGCCCCAACTCCCTCCCACCTGCACTATTAAAGGATAGCTAGGTCCTCTCCAAAGCACTGACCTTACTATTCGAACAGGTTTGGAAGAAAGAGGTCATTCCAGCTAACTGGAATGTGCCAATTATAGTGGAAATATACAATGACGGCAGTCGCACCCACTGTGCTAAGCACAGATGTATTAGCCGAACAAATTTACTGGCCGCAATTCTCGTTCGTCGCCTCACTGCGAAGAGAATCTCGGATTAGGGAAGAACAGGCAAGGTTATGAACAGACGTAGCTATATAGACCATAGAATCATTATGTGGTAGGTGTTAGAGCAGCGCCACAAGTACCACAGGCCGACAACAACTGTTCTTCTCGACTTCAAGAGTGCGTTCCACTAAATCGATCGACTAACTCTGTTCGAAATACTTGTCTAGAAACATGTTCTCACGAAATATGTGAACATTTTACGTGCCGTGTACTCGAACACCACAGGCCGCATCAGGGTCTACGGTGACCTGCTGGATATCTTTCCGACAACAAATGGCATTCGTTAGGGTTGTCTACTAATTTTACTCAATTTCGTCGTGGACTTCATCATGGAGTGTTCCACTGCAGTCGTTGTGGACCTGCTAGTGAAAGGCTAGTTGATCGAGATAATGCGGACGATATTGTCTTGCTGTTTAACGATGTTCGGGTGCATGAATAACCTCCCTATGGTGATCTCATCATTTGGCATGCGCTTCACACTCTCAAAGTGCAAGGTGATATTGTGGGACCACCAGCCACTTGACGACCCCTTAACTGTTGATGGCGAGGAACTCGAAGTAGTTGACCAATTCACCTCCATTGGCATCTGCATCAGCAACGATGGGTGCATAAGCATTGAAGTCAGTTCACGTATTGCAAAAAATAAACTGTCCCCTAGAATCTGCGACATCTGTTGGGTTAAAAAGAAGCTTTCTCCGTCTAAAAGGCAGTGTTTACAAGGCCACAGTGAGGGCCGTCCTACTCTATGGGAGTGAGAGATGGCCCCTTCGATCTGATGATCTGAAGCGCCTCCAAGTCATTGAACATCATTGTCCGCGAAGTTTCACGGGTGCCGAATGACACCAGCGTGTCCGCAAAGATGAGGTGCGTAAACGAGTGCTAAACAGTGATAATCATAGTAGTTCCATAGAACAAGAGATAGCACAGAACAAGGTATGCTTGCTTGGGCACGCGCTGCATATGCCCGGGCACTGCTTACCGAGGAGCGCATTGTCTTGTTTGTCAGATTTAGGGTGGCGCAAGGCTGGAGGTGGACAGTTGACTTGGTAGGGAGAAACGAATTCGCTTACTACAAAACTCGTTGCGGTCGGTCCGTCTCGCCTTCCAGGCTGGAGTCCAAGTGACCCGCCTTGTGCCTAGTTCGAGATGTTACGGCACATGGCTTGCATTCGGCACCAGTGGGGTGTCTGCTGTCGTCTCCTAATCGGATTGCCTGTGTATAGTGTGTTTGCTGCTGAGTTATATGCGGGGTACTGGCTGATGATGACGCGCGGCAGTGAAAGCCTCAAGGAAGCTGTCTCGTTGATGTCGCCTTTGCACGATAGTCGGCTGTTTGTTATGGTATGTTGTTGACAAGGTGTAGGCGCCTTTACCCTGAGTGTTCGTTAAGGGAATTAAGATTTTGCGCCAAGTGCCCCTACTGTCCTTCTTATTGTTACTTATTCTGTAGGTCATCGTGGTTATACGGCAGCGAAGCATCAGCTCAAATGGCTGACGTATCGTTGTTGTTGTTGATGATGATGAATACCAAGTACTGAGAAAATGCAGCGAGTAGAGATACCTCTGTGTAGCTACATCTAATATTTTTCAAGCAAATCTGCCTATTATTATGGTGGTTATTCACGGAATCTCAAGTCGGCAAAGTGCGAGTCCAGGAGTTTCTTAAACCCCGGTACCGACATTGTTTCTATTATGTCTGCAGGCAGGTTGTTCCAAATATTCACCGTCCTCCGCTCTAAGCAGAGTTAGTGAGGAAGCCGCTTCAAATCCGGTACGACAAGCTTGTACCGGCGTCCTCGTGCGCTGCTTGCGGTGCACAGGTGAAGCAGCGGCCTCAAGATGGGGTAATCACCCAGATGTAATAGCCGGTGCATCATGATGAGGGCAACCCGCATTCGGTGATAAGATAGGGTGTACAACCGTAGTCTTTTACACCGGTCTTCATATGGCACACCTCGTAAACCGGGGATGATGATGATGCACACTCGTTCAAAGACCGTTCTGATGCAGCATGAAAACCGATGAGCATGAGAGCAACATCAAAAGACTCATGTGAATGATCCGCATAAAAAAGACCTTTATGAATGACAGGAGCTCTATGCGGTCATTTCTCCACATAACTGGGGCCTATAAATTGCTAAGCATTGGCATTCACATATAATTATAAATACTTATTTCGTAAATTATTGTACATGGCGGAGTCAAGTCACAAACTAGTACCCATTAATGGTGGCCCCGTTTCACATCGAATAATCACAGCAAGCGTGAGTAAAACAGAAATGATAAGTAGATAAACAGCGTTGATGATGTGCAAAAACAAATCAGCAAATTGACTTTACTTGTAAGATAAATTTGACTAGTTCCTTTAGACGCTCAATAACAGTATCATCGCAAAACTTGTGTACCACCAAAATAGACTTCGGAGGTGACTTCCATTCGACGATAACGCCTTCATTAGCACTTTTAAACCTGCGATAAAATGTAACAATTAGACGCGACAGCAATTACCTGCAGTTTGGAGATAATGTACAAGACTCCATGTAGTCGATCACTTGGAATGACTAGATAACAAAGGCTGAAAATAGAAGACATGAGCTGTCATCTACTCATCAAAAAGTGAGATACAGGAGAAAACAACTTACTCGACTAAAAGCACTCTCGTAGCTGCAGACTGGAGCTAAAACGGATGCCTGACTGACTGCAGCTTAGTGATGAGAACACGAGATAGAAATGACGAGGCCGGAAAGCTATCTCACAAATGTTTTTAACAAATGCTAGGTAACGAAAACGAAGTATAGAGCGGTTTCTGCTGAGCTAGCATTTGAGTTAGTCTACGGCAGTTAGTCAGATATGATCCGGGAACCGAAGTGCCTCTATGGCAATGAAAATGACAAACAAAAAGGAAAGTCACAAATCCATCGAGAAGTTAGTAAGCGCAATAGTCTTGTGTTAAGCAGGCGCCGCTGAATTGGTGATCGTCATGCCTGACGGTTACAAATGTTGATGTAACATGCCCAAGATCATCAACTAAGGAGGCAGTTAGTTGCACGACTGTGTCTCGTCCAATTAATCCAATGTAAGATCAAAATGGCCACTAAAATTGCATCCAATCAGGTGCAGTCATGGCAAACAACGAATCCTGAGGTGGGTGTCGACACGTAATTGAAGTACGTCATCCAATGGACGCGTTATACAGGCAGCCAGCTGTACCAGACGATTTATTGCAAGCATCAAATAGCGTAGCTCAGTACCATTGATCCGGCAATTCGCAGCGTAGTGGATATAATGACACAGTAACCATACAAATGGAAAGAATAAAAACACATCAGCACCATAACAGAGGATGCCATCGCAACAAGGGAACGGATAAAAAAGAAATAACTTTTTGAGCTTTTCACTCTCTATTTTACCTTTCTGTCCATTCAATGGTTGCGGTGTTGAACGGTTAAATCACAATATTAATAAAGATCTTCCGTTGGTCTCAATATTGCATCAGGTCCTTAAGCGTTTCGAGCCATCAGTGGTCTTCTTGATTATTCCCCGCCCTAGGAGATCCACGAGACCGACGACAGTTAAACTGGGAGTCAGGGTCTTGGGGTTTTACCGTTATATGGTAAGGTTACCACCGCGACATCTCTTATGAATACTGAATACTGTATTATAGAGCAAGCAGAAATGACTTCTGTACAACGCTTTTGAAATATGGTGAAACACGTTATAAACGTCGCCAACCATGAATATCGTTGTCGTTCTAATGTAACATCTAAAATATCTGACTTAAGATATTTCAGGATACACAAATGTGATATGTCATCGTAAGTGTGCAGTTGTTCTCTGAATCGAATAGTGGCAAAATACAAATCTAACAACGTTTTGAACTGTTGTACAGATGTTGCCTCAATCACATGTTCAGGTAAACTGTTCCAAATGTTTACCACTTTCCGTTTCAAGCACAGTGGGTGGGGAACACATTTCACATCCGGCACAAGTTTGTAGCTGTGTAAGCGTGTGCTGCATGGCCCTCGTAAGTGCAGCATTGGCCTCAGTATTTGTCAGTTAACGAGATGTAGAATACGGTAGGTCATAATGAGGTCGACTCGCAACCGACGGTAGGACAAGGTGTAGAGTCCTAGTTTCTCGCACCGGTCTTCATACCCAAAGCCATGTAAACTCGGGATCAGCCTGGTAGCAACGTGTTGGACCCGTTCGATCTTTTGTGCCTCGCCTCGGGTAATCGGAAAGTAGGCGGGCAAACCGTACTCTAGAATTGGTCTAATGACAGAAGAGAAGAGGTGAGTGGCAACCTCTTCAGACCATGTGCCGAAGCTACGTTCGAGCGCCCAAAGCATGCGCAGTCTGTTATGATATAGCCTGTTCGTGTTATCCACAGACTTCAAATCGTAGCGTGAGAGTATACCTAGGTCTTTCACGGAGGGTGTGGGATATAGCGTTTGGCCGTCAAGGGTGTAGGTTCGGCCGTTAGCACCGTTCCCCAGGCTCATAAATACAGACTTGGCTGGGTTGACCGGGAGAAGAACTTCTGCAGACCATGTGGATAGGCGGTTTAGGTCTTGCTGAAGTAGGCCACAGTCATCGGGAGCGTCGATTTCTCTCCAAATCTTCATGTCGTCCGCAAACAAGGCACACGGTGACCGGAGAAGCTGCGGTAGATCGCTCATGTGGATCAGGAACACAGTGGGCACCAGCACAGTGCCTTGAGGCACGCCACTTGTAGAGGGATACCAGTCAGTTAGATGGTCGTCGACCTGTACCCTCCACTTTCGTCCAACAAGAAAGTCGCGGATCCACCGGTGCAGTGAGTCACCGACACCACACATTCTGAGTTTGTGAAGGAGAACCTCATGGCTGACCTTGTCGAACGCTTTACTGAAATCGATGGATATCACGTCGACGGACTTGCCCTTGCTTATTGTCTTCAACCACTCACGTCTCATCACAAGCAGGTTCGTAATGCATGAGCGACCTTGCATAAAACCATGCAGTGCGGGAATCAGGACCTCGTTTGACTGTAACAACTACAGCAATCCCTTCTTCACGATTTTCTCAGCAACCTTTGCCAAAATAGGTGTCAGACAAATTGGCCTGTAATTGTCTACTTTGCTAGGGTCACCGCCTTTCGGAATAGGCTTCACCACCGAACATTTCCAGTCAACTGGCAACAAACCCACGGACAGCGACCGGTTGAAAAGCTCGGTCACGACAGGTGAGAGAATGATTGAAAGTGACTTGAGAACCAGTGGGTGAAGCCCATCATGTCCGGTAGGTTTGGTGCCATTAAGGTTGGCGAGTAGTCGAGCTACCTCTTCAACGCGGCAATGCAGACTATCGAGTTCGGTAAAAGCGGCACACGTCGAAATCGGAACATACACCTGGTTATTCGCAAATACAGAAGCGAAGTGCGCCGCCAACGCGGACGCATGCTCAGTGCTGGAGGTTAGGGGCTGTTCATCCGTGCCATCTAGCACTGGCACATCACCTGACGGCTTCAGGCGTCGCGTCACGTATGCAAAGATTCTCTTTGGGGCGGTCTTCGCGGCTAATGCGAGCTGCTCTTCGAAATGTCGGCGTTTATTCTTTTTTACACTGTTGCAGAGGTTCCGCTGACATTTATACCCTTCGTAATTATTGGCAGAGCCAGAGAGGAGGAATTTGTCCCATAGTCTGCGCCGCCTCCGAGCCAGGTTTCCATACTCCTTGTCAAACCAATGAGGCTTGATCGGTCCAACGTTCCGACATTTCAATGGCACAAATTGGGAACACAATGACGTCAATCTCTCTTTCATAAATATCCAACAATCTTCCACAGATGCAGCTTGTGACAGAGACCAATTCAGTTGGCTCGCGGCTCGAACTAGACTACCGAAGTCCGTTTTCCAGTAGTTGGTAGCTGGTTGCAGCGGATGTGAATACGGCAAAGATAATTCCATACCAGCTATCAGTACTGAGTGGTCGCTCGTAGCCAGGGGCTCCAGGATCCTAACATCGCGCACTCGTTGTTCGTAGCTCGTTAACATCAGGTCGAGACAGGACGGGGTTGAACGTGCTGATATGCGTGTTGGCTGGCATATGTGTTGCGATGCACCAGTTTCAACTACCAAATCCACGAACTTTGCTTCAACCTCACTATGTCCAGACATCAAATTCACATCAGGCCATCGTATTCGAGGACAGCTAAAATCTCTCATAAGTAGAAAGTGTGGACGACTCATGTGGGTCCGAAGAATGGGCAGCCAATCAAAACAACGACTCAGGGGGCTGCGATAAACTGCGTCCACAAGCAGTTCTCCGCGCCTGAGGCGGATGGAGCACCACAGTAGCTCACACAAACCATCGTCACTTCGGTAGGTGCTCACAAGTCTCCCACGCAGGGAAAACCGGATGTAAAGTAAGACACCACCGTGGGCATTCTTTAGTCTATCGCATCGGAAACACGAGTAACCGTTGAGTTCAAGTTCTTGGGTGTATAACTCTGCATGCAGCCATGTCTCTGCGAGTCCCACTACGTCTGGCCGCTCAGACGCAACGAAACAACAAAGCTCATCGCGCTTATTCCTAATACTGCAAACGTTTGTGAAGGCTACTCGTAGGCCGCAGCAGCAGCCGCCGGGCGTGCTTGAAGTGTGAGCAGCCTGATTATCCTGATTAGCGGATTGTTGGAAACCACCCGAAAATTTACGATATGAAGATTTGTTTCCCCCTCACCAGTGCGTCTTTTTAGCTCAATGATGGCAGACTTGAGCCGCTCCCTGTCTACTGGGTCCAGGTCTGGACGAACATGGATCTTCAAACCTTTCAGCCTACTTAGGCGGGACATGATCAGTCTTGGAATGGCTTCGTCCACAAAAGTGATTCTCATAGGCCGATTTTGTTGATCACCTTGCTTTCCAAGACGGGTAATCTGCTTCACCTTTACCGAGTCCTCATCAGCGTCGAGGAGTCTATCAATTAGACCCTGTAAAAACTCGACATCGTGATTGTAGCGCACTTGGGGTGATGGATCACTGGACTCCGGTGCGTGAAAGATCACGAGATCACAACGCCTCTGGTCGGATGAGGTTGACCTTGCAGGGCGAAGTATACTACCAGTCTCACGTGGTTTGGCTAACTGTTGACTTACAGAATGTAAACGCCCAACGTCCCTTCGTAATTTCGTTCTCTGTTCTTTCCACTGGTCTTCAGCACTCAGACTCACCTGCTGGGACATCAGTGTCCGTTGGACACAACAAAGTTAAACAATTTAGGCCAGGTGCAACTGGGCTTCTCACAACGGTTGGACTTCGTGTCGGTGAGTTTGCACGGGTAGAGGAGGACGGCTGAGCCAAAACCTGAAGGCTCTTCGGGCTAGGTTGTTGGGCCAAACACACGGAGTTGTTCGAAACGAAACGCTGAGGTCTACACCTCGGCTTTACTCTTTCTGGCTGTATCTTATTTCGGCAAGTTTCACATACAGTTTGGACGAAATCGTGTTGGATCTCGCGAAGACGATGAAAATGCTCAACTGATAATCCAACACATGAAATGTGGAGTTTAACTTGGCGCAAAACACATGTGAGGGCATTTGCACGGTATCCGACTAGTTTGGAGCAAGCACCACAGGATGACTGCCTCGGCATTGTGAATAATCCGAAAACAAGATGGCGGCCAATTGACGGAGAAAATGACGATAGCAAGATCGCCGAAACAAAGCGATGAAAGCACAAGTATTTCTGGTAGGAAATTTCAGAATCGGAAATGAAACGGAATTGTATCTCAATTTCCACGAGATACTTCCAATGAACGCAGAAAGCCAACACAAAGTGATCTTGTCAACACAGCCAAAAATAACGGACCGGAGGCCGCTATCCGCAATATTGTGTGAGTGACTACAACGAGGTGCCGCAATCACTCGCACAACATGCGTAGGACTTGACCAAGCGATTCTAATTGGTGCAGCGAAGTCTAATACTGACAAATAACTCCCCCTTCTGGGGTCTCCAAAGTGAGGGAATCGATCATCGCATATGCTTTAGTGGACCCCAATTAGTCAAAAAACTACTTTATGATTACAAGTACGGCTTCCG